GCCTCTTAGTTTCAGTCGCTGAGGTAGACACTCTTAGTTGCCTTCTTTATGTCCATTCTCCCTTTTCTTTAATGACAAAGCCCCTATTTCTAATGGCAGTAGTATATCCAGTAAAGAATCAATTTTCTATTTTCCCTTATAGACAAGGGTGCCTGTGATGTGGTTCTTATATGTAGGTGGACCTCCTTGGGTGGGGCTTTTGTGAAACTCTTGTTAAATCAAGTTTTCGAGACAAAGAAGTCTCTGACATAAAGGGTTTATTGAGCTGTTACAGAGGCTAGCCAAAGATGAAAGGACTGGTCCTGGGACAAGTTCCAGAAGCTACCAGCAGCATATCAAGAGGTCAGACAGAAAAATGTCTCTAGGATGTTTCGTATGATATTTTGGGGAGAAAAAACATTAATGTTTTTAAATTAATGTACAGTGAACCTCTGGTGAACCTACAAGAAGTGGGGGGAGTCCTGGGAGAGGAGGTTCATCCACAATCAGAAGTTTTTGCTGGTTCTGGCTTGGTTGATTCTAGTAGCAGAATGTGCATGGCTTTGACGACTTACTTATCTTCAGCATTCAGGAAAAGAAGGCGGAGTTTTTTTTCTTATTCTTTATCCTTGTTGATTTAGCTTGAACCTGTGAATTAAAATGACATTGTTTTATTTCTTTCCTCCCTCCATTCTTTGACCTGTAACTTCGTTGAGGACATCTTGGAATTCTTCTCTTATCACTCTTTAAATAGGAGAGTAACTTTTTTAACAAGGACTTTCTGTTTTTTTTTTTTTTTTCTTTCCTGTATTAGTTGACTTACTCTACTCTACTTGTCTACCTGAAAGGAGCCAGGACGCTAGAGGTGGATCAGCTGGCTTGCCACAAAAGTCACAAGAATGACAGGAAAAGCCAGGTTTTAAAGAGGCTGAGTGGAAACCTAGAGGATCCTGGTTCTGTGATGGCTTGTGCCACGTCCCTCAAAAGCCTGTTTCTTTACTGATTGTTACTTGAGAAATATAAACCTTGTCTTTGTCTAGTCCACTCTTTGCTAGGGTTTCTTCTATAGCAAAACCCAATCCAAACTGATATTGTTACCAATGAGTGTAAATTTGTGAAAATTTACATGGAGTGGATTATTTGGTGTTTGTATCCAAATGTACTTAAGCTTAAAGTTTAAAACAAAATTTAAAGTATGCTTTTCTGCTTAAATCTGAAAGAGAAATTATGGAACTGCATTTGACAAAGAAAATAAAGTCCTAGGAATTAAAGAGTTATGGTTTTCTTCCAGAAAATCCAGGCAAATAGCAACCAGTACTTTAGACAAATTTAAAGGTATTGTAATCTTCCCACTAAAGATAGAGTAAATGTGACAGATAAAAGCAAGCCTGAAATAGAAAATAAATCTCATTCACAGCTTCATTTCAAATATAAAAGTTGATACTTTTTAAAAAAATCAGAAGGCAATAAATATATGCTGCTTAGAGAAAATATGCACAAGAAAAAAGTGTCACTTCAAATTTCATCATGAAAAACTGCACATCATCAACATTTTGTTGAGTTCCTTTATGAGTATTTTTCCATGTAGATATTTGTCATTGTTTTTTATACAACTTGGGTCACGTGACCACTCAAGTGTGTATTTTATGTTTCATTTAAGTGAGTACCTTGCATATTGTGTATGTTATCACAAAGTTTTCATAAACATAATTTTTCATCACAACATGAGAAATAGTTTACTTTCCTATTTCTTATTTTTAGATGTTTAAGATGTTTTGAGTAGGGCCTAGTGGGGGCGGGGGGTTCTTCAGGGTAAGGAGGGCTTGCCCTTAAAGAGGATAGCAGGCCCCTGTCCCTTCCTCTTTCTCTGTTTTATCACATTCAGCCATGAGGTGATCCTATCTGCCACATGCTCTCACCAGACTGTGCTGGCCTCACCATAGGACCAAGAACAAGGTCATGATTTGTAATCTATAAAACTGTGAGCCAAAATAAAATTTTCTTCTTTATAAAAAATGTTTTAAATTTTTCCAATAATTAAAAGTGGTGCAATTACATGCATGGTATTTTTCCTGCAGTATTTAAAATTATTTCCTTTAGGCTAGGTTTGAGAAAAGAAATGATTGGATCCAAGATTTACACATTGTAGGTTCCTGATACATGTTGTTAACTTGCCAATAAGGAAGGTTGTATTAGTTGACTTACTCTACATCAGTATTCTAGAGTGGCTGCTTTACTGGATGTGATCCTGTATTATTCACCTTTTTTTTTGTACTGGGGATAGAACCTGGGGTGGGGGTTTTACTAGTGAGCTGCATCCCCAAGCCTTTTTATTTTTGAGAGGGTCTCACTAAATTTCTGAGGCTGGTCTTGAACTTGTGATCCTCCTGCCTCAGCCTCTTGAGTGGCTGGGATTACAAGTGTGTGCCACCACACCTGACTGTATTATTTGTTCTTAAAGAAAATATTGCTCTTTGTATATTTAAAAAATACTTTTATACTACATTACCTTGCTATTAATTTATTATTTAAAATCTTTATTGATAGTTTTAAATTATAAAAGTAAACTTATCATAAAATTTTGCATGAATATATAAGTGAAAGAGCTGTTTCTCTCAACACCAGCCTCCAATGCAACTAGCTTTTAAAAATTTAAATGTGCGTAAGTTTTAATTTTATCTTATAGAAGTGCTATTTTGTAGAATGTATGCAGAAAGTAAGAGTAGTTACTAACAGGTGGTTGAGATGCAAATGAACCTAAGAGTATGTGAAGATAAAGATGTGAAATCTCTACCTTCATAGTTAGATAAGAAAGGTGGCGACCTTAATCCTCCCCCAAATTGATGTTCTTATAATAAGAAGAGGATATTAAGACACAGAAACACATAGACTGAGAAATGGCCACTTGCATGCCAACAAGACAGCCCTCAGAAGAAATAAAGCCTACAGACACCTTGATATTGGACTTCCATCTTCTAGAACTATGAGAAATATTTCTGTTGTTTAAGTCACCCAGTCTGTAGTATTTTGCTATAGAAATACTAGCACATTAATACAGACTTGTGAAACCTGGGTCAGATGCTGCATCCAGCTTCTTCATGCAAGGAAATTTTCAAATTTCTTTAAAGCCCCTCAATTTGTTCCTTGATAAAATGTCACAGGCCTGCCCTTGCCCTTGCATGTTTACATGGGATCTTGGAGATGCTTGTGACTGAGATGACCAGAAGGGATAAGAGGCATACTTACTCTGAAGGCTCCAAGGAGGCATCGTGCTATGCTAATTTTTTTTCTGTCTTTGTTGTGGCAGCCCCAATTTTCTCTGATTCTGCCATGTATCTTAGAAGCCTGCTGAGACAAAGCTGTACTTTACTTGGTATTCAGTTTGGGGCTGTGTCAAGTTTACTAATTTTCAAGGACTCTGCTGGGGAAATCCCAGCACTGACTTATAAAGATTGTCACACTTTTTCCTTAGTTACCTAAAGAGGAATTTTTTTTTTTTCCAGTATATGAGATGTTGAGATAATCTGGAACTGATTCATAAAGTAGCAGAAGGCTCTACCCAAATCTTCACAGTTATGTGTCTAATCTTCAAGGAAAGAAAGAAAACAACTACCCCAAGATGCCATTTGGAAGATCATAGCCAACAAAAGAGAGCAGGTTCTATAAGGCTCATCTCCTCAGGTCTTCAGAAGGACCCCATATGCAAATGAGAATTTCAGAGAAATGCTCTATGCCTGTGGCCACAGTCAATGAATGATATTCTGGCAAATGTTCAGAGAAAATAAATGGAAACTCCTAAGAGGACCCAATGGAATTCTTGGGATAGGTTGCATTGTATGTCCAATTAACCCTGCAGCAGTGAAGCTATGAGATACCAGAGATGGCAAAAGCCCAGTTCCTCTAAGTCTCAAATGAGTTACAGTGCCAGAGGCAGTCCTGGGGCGCCCAACCCTGAGGGAACAGCAAGATTACTGTTTCTTAAAACCATGTCATTAATTAGGGCTGTTTAATTTCTTAGCAGAGTCTGAAGTACATCAACATCTTGTGTACTTCTACAGTTACTATTAAATGGGGTCGTTATGAGTTGAATTGTCTTCCTCAAATTCCTTTATTGAGTCCTAATCCCCAGTACCTTATAATGTGACCTTATTTGGAGATAAGATTTTTACAGAGGCAATCCACTTAAAGTAAGATCATTAGGGTGGGCCCTCATCCAATATACTGGTGATCTTATAAAAAGGGGAAATTTGGACACAGAGACATTCATAGAGGGAAGATGACATGGACGGACTAGGGAGAAGCTGTCCATTAACAAGCCAAGAGGGAGGTCTTGAATGGATTCTTCCTTCACAGTTCTCAGAAGGAACCAACCCTGCCCATACCTTGATTTTTGAACTTCCAGCCTCCAGAACTGTGAGTTAAATTTTTCTTTTGCTTGAGCTACCCAGTCTGGGATTTTGCTACAACAGCACTAGGAAATCAACACATGGGTACATTTTAGAAATAGTTAAGTCTATATAGTCTTATTGATATGTACTATTCATTAAAGAAGATTGATATAAACCTCATGATTCAAAGCCAACTAATTAGTGTAGATATGATTAGTATAGATATAGATGACATCATTTTATTTGTTGTGAACTTAAAATAATGTGCTGGCACAACTTAGTATAATTTTCTTTATTTTTAGGATTCATTATTTTCTCCTGAGGCTGTGTCTAGGCTTTGATCTCTCTCTCCCTGATTTTGCCTAAAAAGAGAGCTGTTTCAACTGGAAAATTGAGGTCTTCTTCTACTGTATGAAAAATTTCCTCAAATATATCTGCCAATTTCTATTCTGATTATTCTGATATGATGAAATGCCTATAATTCTTGAAATGTAGCTCTCTTGCTGGTCTAGAATGATGACATAGCTCCCTGTCTTGCCAAATATCCTTCTTTGGGAGGAGCCCCAAAACAAGCATAAGTGTGTTTTGCCACTGATCTACTCCATATCTGAGCTTCTCTGCCCTTATAGCTGATTAATCCAGAAAAGCAACCTGATTAATCCCATCAGCAACCTGATTCTTGGTAGTATCCTAGAAATAAAATCCATAAACTCTTACCACTGAAGATCTACCTCTAGATATTCCTTCTTTCTATTCACTGTTAACTCACTGGGCTTAACAGGTTAAAGCAGGGTGCATTTATTCTTATGAAGGGAAGATAACAATATTAAATGACTTTTATGTGCCAGGTACTATGCCAGGTTTGGGAATGCAAAGATAAGCAAGATAGTCTAACGAGAGAAACAACTATTAAGCAAATAAACATGTGATAAAATATATTTGTAATTGTGATAACTGTCATAAAAGAAAAGTAGAGGATACCTTGGGGTTATAACAGGAAGACCTTATCTATGCTGGAGGGCACAGAAGGAACAGAAAAACACTAGAAAGGACTCTCTGGTAAAGCGACGTTTAAACTGATTCTTAAAGGCCAGTTGAAATCAGCCAGGCCAACTGTGTAGGCTAGGATAGTCCAACTGGATGGAACAAAGTGTTTGAAGGCCTGAATTTGAAGGAGCTTGATGTCATTTCAGGAAAGGGAGACCTATAGACAGAGAGGGAGGGAGGAGTGGAATAAAGCAGTAAGCAGTAGCCACACCATGCAAAGCCTCCTAACCACAATAAGAGCTATGAACTTCACCTACTAGCAATAGGTGGTCAATGAAATGTTTAATACCAAGGAGCAACATGGCCATATTTGTATTTTTAAAAAATATTTATTTGTTAGTTGTAGTTGGATGCAATACCTTTATTTATTTATTTTTATGTGGTGCTGAGGATTAAACCCAGGGCCTCGAATGTGCTAGACGAGTGCTCTACTACTGAGCCCCAGCCCAGCCCCATATTTGTATTTTTTTAAACTGATTTTATTTTTAAATACATGACAGTGGAATGCATTACAATTCTTATTACACATATAGAGCACAATTTTTTTTCACATCTTTGTTTGTATATAAAGTATGTTCACACCAATTCATGTCTTTATACATGTACTTTGGATAATGATGTCTATCACATTCCACCATCATTGCTAACCCCCTGCCCCCTCCCTTCCCCTCCCAGCTCTCTGTCCTATCTAGAGTTCGTCTATTCCTCTCATGCTCCCCCTCCATACCCCATTATGGGTCAGTTACCGTATATCAGAGAAAACATTCAGCATTTGTTTTTTGGGGGATTGGCTAACTTCACTTAGCATTATTTTCTCCAGCGCCATCCATTTACCTGTAAATGCCATGATTTTATTCTCTTTTATTGCTGAGTAATAGTCATTGTGTATATATGCCACATTTTTTAATCCATTCATCTACTGATGGGCATCTAGGTTGGTTCCACAGTTTAGCTATTGTGAATTGTGCTGCCATCAACATTGATGTGGTTGTGTCCCTGTAGTATGCTGTTTTTAAGTCCTTTGGGTATAGATGGAGGAGAGGGATAGCTGGGTCAAATTAGAGAAATGCAAATCAAAACTACTCTAAGATATCATCTCACTCCAGTCAGAATGGCAGCTATTATGAAGACAAACAACAATAAATGTTGGCGAGGATGTGGGGAAAAAGGCACACTCATACATTGCTGGTGGGACTGCAAATTGGTGCAGCCAATCTGGAAAGCAGTATGGAGACTCCTTGGAAAACTGGGAATGGAACCACCATATTTGTATTTTTAAAAATCATTCTGGCTGTTGAGTAGATAATTGCTGGGAAGGAAGCAAGAGTGAAAATAGGCAAGGAAGAGTTAATGGCTGTGAACCCAGTGAGAAGGATGTGGCTTGGGCTCGGTTGGTGGCAGTGGAAATGGAGCAACATGAATGTTTCTTCCCTTATTTAAGAAACCAAACTTATAGAACCTGGTTATGGATAGTATCTGTGGAGGGAGTGAGTAACAGATGTCAGAGATTAGCCCACATTTCTGATTGGAGCAAAGACAGAGGCTCCATTTGTTGAACTATGGAAGGGAAGATTGGGGTGGGGGCTGAAATTCAGTTTGGGGTGAATCAGGTTTAAGATGCTTGTGTAAAATTAAAATCAGTAGAATAGCTGGGTCTCTATGTCAGGCTTAGAATAGAAGTCTGAATTGGGGGAATAGTCACAAAGCAACACCTAGAGAGAGATGCATGTTCCAGGGTGGTCTTTATAAACTGGGGAGACTGAAGTGTGTTTGAAGTCCAAAGGAAAAATCCAGTAGAGGAGAAAGATTGAATCAATGTGGCTGACCCAGGACTTGAGTTGATATGGTGTCATACATCGTAACTGGCATGAGTTCCTACTGCCATCTGGTGGCTCAGGGGTATAATTAATATACTCTATGCTGAAAGTCCAGGGTACTAACCTTGTTCATGGTTCACCAACATTTATCTCTGAAGAACTCATATAAAGTAATAGGATCAATCACATCAGTCCTGGGAAAAATAAATTTGGGTAGGTGGAAAATGCAGTGGAAAACTTAATGCCTCTAACAGGTGTACGTGTGTTTTACGTTAGGCTTAACAAAGTGGAAGTTTGAGGTGCCTCCTTAATCCTTCCCCCTTTTTTTAGCTCCTTTCCAATATTGCTCTCTTTTTTCACAACCACCATCACTGCCACTACCAGCACCACCACCATTATAACAACACCATCACTATCACCACCACCACCACCACCATCACTTCACCTCCACCACCTCCATTACCACTACCACTTTTATTAAAACCACCACTACTACCATTAACATCATCACCACCACCAACAACACCACCAGCATCATTAGAAACTTCACTACCATCACTACCACCACTTTCACCACCACCTCCAGTGCCATAACCACCATTACCACCACTACTACCACTTTCATCACTACAGCCACCACCATCACCACCACTATTATCACTTTCACCACTATAACCATCATTTTTTACCGATCACTACACTTTCATCATTACTACAACCACCATCATCACCTTCACCACCACTTTCACTAAAACCACCACCACCAATACCATCACAACTAGCATCATCAGCACCTTTGTGGCCACCACCATCACCACTCCTATTACCTTAACTGCCTCCACTATTACCACACCACCACCGCATTTAACACCAGCCCCACAATACTTTTGTCACCACCACTACCACCATCATCTTTATCACTACCACCATTACCTTCACCATCACTACCACCACCATTGCCACCACTTTCACCACCACCATCACCTTCACCACCAACACCATCATCTTAACCACCACCACAACACTTCCACCACCACCACCACCACCACTATCACCTTCATCACTACCACCATTACCTTCACCACCACTACCACCACCATCACCACTACCACCACTACTATCACCTTCACCACTACCATGATCATCTTAACCATCAAAACACTTTCACCACCACCACCACCACCACCACCATTTCTACCTTTACCACCACCACCATCCCTTTCACCACCACTACCACCACCACCACCACCACCACCACTATCACCACTTCCCCTTCTACCTTAACCACCACCACCTTCAAAAACAGCATCATCAACACCTTCACTGTCATCACCTTTATCACCACCATCACGTTCATCACCATTACTACCAGCACCACCACCATTATCTTCACCACCACAATCACTCTTTCACCACCACATTCACCACCATCACCACCACAATTTTCATCACTACCACTAATGCCACTTTAACCCCCCACCATCACCTTTACCACCACCACCACCACCCTCACTATCATCACCACTGTCAATCATCATCATCACCATAGTCATTACTTCTTACATATTATACATTCACATTAATGGATTAAATATGCTATCTCATTTGAGTATGTTTTCATAAGTTCAAAATCATCCTCACCACCATCACCACCGTCAGTCATCATCATCACCATAGTCATTACTTCTTACAAATTCACAATAATGGATTAAGTCTGTTATGTCATTTGATTATGTGTTCATAAGTTCAAAACCATTTATTGAATATCTGTCTTATGACTGTTGCTGTGCTAGATGTCAGGCACAAAGACCAAACATAGTCATTCATTTCTAGGATCTTTTATTGAATGAAGTGATAAATGTAGTGAACTATGCAGTGTGTTGAGTGTTGTAATTATCATTAATACCTTTGAAACTTTATAAATAGGCCACTTAAGACTAAGGGTCCCAGAAGGCACTCTATATAGTAGAGACAATAGTGAATCATAGTTTGTAAGATTAATAATAGTTAGTTATGGGAAAATAAGAAAGAGGCCTTTACATCTAGGGTAAAGTGAGTATTGAAAAATCATGAGACATTTAAAATTCTTTGAGTAGAATTGTGTGACAGCTGAGTACAATACTTGAGGGGTGGCAGAAAATAAGGCTAGACCACGAACAACTTTATGACATAAGCAAAGGAACTTAAACTTATTATTATTTTTGTGTACTGGGATTTGAACTCAGAAGTATTCCATCACTAAGCCACATCCCCAGCTCTATTTTGTATTTTATTTAGAGACAGGGTCTCACTGAGTTGCTTAGTGCCTTGACATTGCTGAGGCTGGCTTTGAACTCACAGTCCTCCTGTCTCAGCTTCTTGAGCTACTGGGATTACAGGTGTGAGCAACCTCGCCTGGCTAGCTTAAATTTATTATTATTATTATTATTATTATTATTATTATTATTATTTTGTAGTACTGGGGATTTTGAACCCAGGGCCTCATGCATGCTAGGTAAGTGCACTACCAGTGAGCTACATTCACAACCCTAAACTCAATTTTTATGGGTATGGGGAGTCATTGGAAGATACTGCACAGGGGAGAAACAACATATAATTTACATTTTAATAACAGTTGGTACACATTGGACACTACATACCCACTACATACTAAACCCCTTTATGTGGACAAACTCATTTTAATCTTCACAATGGCATCTCACAGAGGCATGACACACCACCAGATCATCCTATGCCCTCCTGCAATTCTACTGGCATCAAAAGCATGTCAATGATGTGCACAATTTGGGCACAAGATACAATTGCTTTGGGGAAGCAAATAAGGACAATTCTTTCCAGAATGTTAATGATTTTCCCATCCTTTGATTTCTCAGCCAGGCCTTTGGGAAGGGAAACCTGCACATTCAATTGCCAATGAAAATTCATTGAATTTCTGCTATTACTGCTGTCAAGTATGACTTGGATTTTCTAGCACTGAAACCTTTGCCAATAAATGCAGTGAATTTATAAAATTTGCCAATTTACTGAATTTGAAGTCACTGTTTCAAAATAAAATTATAGCAAAACTGGTTTTGGTGTTAGGTTTCTAGATGGGTTATTTCTGTTTTTCTGATTATTAGCAAGAACAGGGAAGATCATTCTTGATTTCTTTATAAAGCCATCTCAGCAGGAGGCTGGAATTCCTTGTAGGTCAGGATGGACCGCAGCACTGGACTTTTGAAGAGCAAAGCAGAGACACTCACATCTTAATAACTGCAAACTTATCCTGGGTCTATTGCTTTGCTCCATACTTCATTCAGATAAAGCTTTTCAATGACTGTCTTTTATTGAATTTTTGCTTTAGTGTTTCTCAAAGTTGGTTTGAGGACCCATTGGAGATCCTGAAACTCATTGGGGTTGTATAAGGTCAAAATTATTTTCATAATAGTACTAAAATATTATTTGCTTTATTCTTTTCATTCACTCAGGAACGTAGAGTTTTCTAGAAGGTACATAATGCATATCTCACAAGAGATTCTCTCATTTTCTTTTTCTCCCATTGGTGATGGAGAGGCAGCCTATGGACACAGTCTTAGTCCCATCACAAGAGATTGAATGCAAACACAAACACGAGAATTCAGCTCTGTTCTAAAGCACACATTAAAGAGGTTCACCAAAAGTATAAAACAATGGCACTCTTCTAATATTTTTGAAAATATTAATTATTTTCCACCAAAATGCTTATTTCTAGTAACTTGTAATGGGATTAATATTATTTTTAAATGAGTTAATAAATGAATATTTTAAATGTCTTTGACTTAATTTCTAACATAGTAAATACCAATTGCTAAATCTGTATTTAAAGAGCTTCTTGGGATTCTCTAAATTTTAAGAGTGTAAAGGCATCCAGAGACTGAAAAGTCTAAGAATATTAGTTTAGAGAATTCACTGTGTAAGACATTTCTCAGTGACATTAAGAGGAAGGATACTTGTCTTAGTTTGCTTGTGCCCCTTCTCTTGCCCTGAAAAAAAACAGAGGCAGCAAAAAATGAATATGTTTACAGGTCCCTGTTCTCCTGGTGTCAACATTCCTCTCTGTATAGTTGGTCTGTTTCCTTGGTAACTAAACTGTAGCTGCCACCTGTGGCCTATTAGCAACCTCCCTTGACTGGTGGGATTCCACAGGGCAATGACTGTCTGGAAATAATTAGGGAACTTGGTAAGGAAGTTTCCTGAAACAGGAAATTGGTTCCTTTGGAACTTGTTAAACATTAAACTCCACAGCCAAGGTCACGAAAACATTTACTGAAATTAGTAATAGTGTTCAGGTCTTCTGGGATCAGTTACCAAGGGTAAATAGTGTCAGAAACCAGTGTTTATTCTTCAAGATTTAGGTGACAGCTTTAAGCTATGATGAGGGAGCAATTATGTTAAAATGACTCCTGGGTTTCTAAGGAAGCCACACTTTAGTCTCTCCCTGGAGCTGACATTGGCTTTGAGTAGGGGTGTGGGATGTAAGTGAAGTTTACTTTAAATCCAGATGTTCCCTTTACCAGGTCTCTTTTGCCACGGTAGACTTCAGTAATAGTTACAAAGTTTCGCTGAACCTGGAGAAGTTGGCCAGACTGTAGATAATCAAAGCCAACAGGGAATTTCTGACAACTTGATTAGTCTCAGTTAAAAGCAATAGAATTTTTCCTGGATAACACTTTGAGGCCTTTGAAGACTTGTCCAACACAAGCACATGAATCTAAACACGACAAATCCATAAGCAAAATCCACTATGTTTTACCTGAAATAAAAATACAGAGGAAAAGAACGAGAGGCAGCGACCAGATGTCCCCTCCTCGAAACACATTCTGCACCTGACAGGTGGGCTCCCCACTCAGGGCTGGAGCCTCTGGGCCCCAGTTCTGTCTCAGGCCATACCCAGGCTCTCACCAAGTGGCTTGTCTGAAAGAATGGTGGTGCCATTTACTCCTCCTTCTTTTTTAAAAATATATTTTTAGTTATAGACGGATGCAATATCTTTATTTTTTGTTTATTCATTTTTATGTGGTGCTGAGAATCGAACCTAGTGCCTCACATGTGCAAGGCAAGCGCTCTGCCACTGAACCACAACCCCAGCCCCCATTTCCTCCTCCTTCTGAATGTCATTTAATTACTTATAGATGGTCTGAAATGCAAAAAAGTTTTAGTTCCACTTGAAATATCAACAAATTGCATTCAGAAGAGCATGAGCAGATGGGGAAAACATTTCAATGTGAAAATTTTGTAAGAAAAGAAGAAAAATACAGAAACATAAAAATATAATGAATATTTGCTATGCACTGGGCACTTTGCTGAGCACTTTGTACTCTCATTGAGTGCTCGTTCCAATCTGGTAGTTTAGCCACTACTATCACTTTCATTTTAAGTCCTAGGTAGCATACAAAAGGCTCTGTGGCGGAAGGAAAGAAGTCCTAGACAAAGACTCATTTTACTCATGCCTCAATATGGAGAACTCATATACATCATCCAAGGCTAAGTGGATAATTAGAAATTTATTCCAAGTTCCTGGTTTTTGACTATCATCTATGCTTATCATGTCCCATTTACTTCTTCATTCAACTAATGTGTCCTGGAGTGTCACTCATGCTAGACCAGAAAATAAGAAGCCAAAATAGATATTGTTTCTACCCATATGGGCTTCTGAGACAGAGGAGTAAACATAGATAAGATAATCATGTAAATCAGCATACAAGCCAAGAGAAGTGTTTGCAAAATATATTATGCATCTATCTATCATCTATCTATCTATCTATCTATCTATCATCTATCTAGATTTAGCCTTGAAAAATCAAGAAAGACATCTCTAAGAAAGTGATATTTACATTAAAATCTGAAGTTTGAGTAGGTATTAAGCAAGGAGTTCATGGAGAATAGATGGAAGAGAGAGTCCTACGTCATATACAAAAGGCTCTGCGGCAGAAAGAATGAAGTCCTAGGCAAAGAAGATGAGGCCCAGTGTGTGATATGTGATTTGAGAGGTGTTAGGAGCAGACTTAGCACTTCACTAAAGAAGCTATAGGAAAGGCTGCATTACTATATTTTGATTTTTTGTTTGTTTTGAATTTTGGGGCCTGTTTTTCTTGTGTGAAAAATATCTCAAGTAAAGAGGATAGAGAATAGTGTAATGAACATTCATGTAACCAGTAACAAATTAAAGAAAGCACTTTATAATCAGACAATGCTTTTGAATAATGTGGCTTCAATGACATTTGAAGTCCTTTGTTTGACACTGAAAAGTTTTAAACCAGGACAGATGTGAACAGATTTTCATTCTGAAAAGATCTTAGAAAAGTAGCAGGGTAGACAGTGAACAGAAGGAAAACCGTGTGAATGTGGGGTCCAACTGGCTAGCTTCTGAGGCTGTCCAGGTGGCAGCGTGATGGGCTGTATTTGGGAGGTGAGAGAGGAGATGGGCAGAAGAGACGGATGGGGAGGTATTAGGATGAATTGTCATGACTGTTAATGATGGTTTGATTAAGGAGAGTAAAATTGTGGAATGGGGCTAAAGATATCTCCTGAAATA